AAACTAAGTATGCGCTGTAGTTTCTTTTACATAACAAATTGCTTGCTTCTCATCAAGTCATTATCTCATTTTTTCTTTTTAAACAAACTCTCATGTCATTCCATATTGGCCAGGGCATTGCCAAAAGGTTTAGTATTTTAACAAAAGTAAAATAAAATAAAAATGTGTGAAATGAAATATTTTCGCAGCGTTGCAGATATATTTTATTGATGTAATTATTTGCTTGCCTTTTAGCACTTTTGACAATGTCCTGGCACTTAAATTTTCCACAGCTAGTTTTCAGTCTACTTGCGCATACTTAAGCACACACACATACACAGATATGCAATGCTTGCACTTATTTGCCTATAAAGATCTTCACTGAAATCCTACCTTCAATATTCTAACAAATTTTCCTTTCAATAAAAAAAAAATAAAATCACCGCACAGGTTTGAGAAATTGGATATAACGCCAAAGAGCGCGCAGAAAATCAAGCCAGTTTTAGAACGCTGGATGAAGGAGGCCGAAGAGAGGTGAGAGTATGGAAGAAGTTCCACACGACGGCGATCTCAAGCGTGAACTCGATTTTAACTAACAGCTGATTTTTTTGTTTGTTATTTTTTCTTCCATGTTTTTCACTGTTGCTCTTCACAATTCCAACGTTGATAGCCACTGGAATCGTTATAAATCTGGACAGAACCACTTAACCGATTACATAGGCGTGGAGCCATCGAAGAAGCGCAAGCGCCGCACGTCATTTACGCCACAGGCTTTGGAGCTGCTAAATGCGCATTTCGAGCGCAATACCCATCCATCGGGTGAGTGGTAATTTCGAAAATTTTATATTTTTTTCACACTTTACCAAGCGGAACAAGCGAGTTGCTGATGATGGAAATTTTTCTCATTTCTTCTTTTAGGCACCGAAATAACCGGCTTGGCGCACCAATTGGGTTATGAACGCGAAGTGATACGCATTTGGTTTTGTAATAAGCGGCAAGCGTTAAAAAATACAGTGCGAATGATGTCCAAGGGAATGGTGTAAGGGGTGTGACAGACGAGAAGATTGCTGGCAGAAAGAAGCGCAAAAAGAAGAGAATGGCAAATTCTATTAGAGGTCCACGAAGGAACAGCAAGATGCAGTCGGGCAAAGAGACGCTTTTAAGGAGAGCTGATTAAAATTTACGAAGGCTGAGGGCGATGGCTCTCTGGAAATTATGTATTCAGAGATTAGATTTGCGGGTCTATTAAAAAAACACAAACTGTTTCCACAAAAGACATTTAATTTTTTATGTAGCTCACTTTCACAAACTCTGAATTACTTCAGCAGGATGCGAGTAATCATTTTTTTTGTATTTATTAGTTTGTAAAAAACATTTAACTTTTAAGCACGGCAAAACACAATAAATACTCCATGGCTTGCTATTGATTTCTATAACAACTACTATGTATACAAATTTACATACATATTTGTATAAAAAAAAATCGGTCATTAATTCAAATGGCATAGGTGTGTATGTATGTACATGCATGTAGTCATACATATGTTTATGTGCTACTTATAAAGTTATAGCAAGCAGTTTTTCTATGTCTTTAAGTAAATTACGTTTATCCCAATACGAAAAAATAGAGTTTCATGCTTTACTCTCTAGGATCATAGATGAAATTTTTCATGTAAGTATAAAATAAATGCAAAATATTTAATGGAATAGGCTGAGAGCTATAAATTTTAAGTTGTATTTGTACATATTGTATTGTGTGCGTATAGGAAATGTGATAGCCACAATAGAATTATTTAAATCCAAAAAAAAAATATTAATTAAGAATTAACAAAAATTCAATAAAGTGTAAATAGGAGAAAGCTATAGTTTAAAAGTAGAAAAAGAAGAAAACAAATTTATATACGATACATAAGTTTTGTTTGCTAGAATAGGAGGATGTAAGGTTTTCGAAAACAAAATTTGATAATTTAAATTTTTTTTTTGTAAAAAAATTCGAATTGCATTTACAGATGCAATCAACTAATTAGCAACGAAATTCAAATTATAATTCAAATTTAATAATTTTCAATTCTCTAACAGCTTGCGCAAATCGCAAAAAAACCAATCAAACTTTTTTCTTATACTACAATTGAATGGGCTACAAAACTGCGTACCCGAAAATTTTCTAAATATTCTAATTAACAGTTTTGAAATTTTGATGACAATTTTTTTTAAGTTTGGTAATTTTTTTGCGATTTTTGCAAGCTTTTAAACTTTTATTATTGTTGTTTCTGTTATAGATTGAATTATATTTTAAATGAAAATTATTAAAAAAATAAATTTAATTTAAAATAAATAAACACAATTTCTCAAACAATTTCATTTTGAATTTCGTTGCTCATTAGTTGATCGCATCTGTATGTATGTATATTTGGGTGCCTCACCAAAAAAAAAAAAAAAATCGTGGATTTTCCACAGGGATTATAAAACTTATTA